TTGTTAACTATATTAATAAACAAAGATCCCTGATTATGGACGCCATTTCTTCCATTATTTAACTAGAACTAGGTATATATATGTAGAAACATCATGTGAATATTATATACAATAAGAGTAGAGTCCTTCTATATACACAGGTTAGAATACAAGCCATTATTTAATCTATTTATCCTTATTTACATCTGTGGGTGGCCAGCGTTTATGATCTTTAAAAATATTTATTGGTTTATTATTCTGATTCCTGTTATTTGCTCTGCGGCCCTCTTGCTGGATTGTATTCAGTAAGCTTGTTATTATACTTATAAATACTTCATCTATTTCAGCTGCTGTTTTGGCTTTTTCTGAGGCCTTAATATATAATTCATAGAATTAGCTGTCAGTGAATTTACTGTTATCAAAGTCATTAAGTTGTTTCTTAATTATGTCGCACCATCCCGGTAAGTCTGACTGTATGTTAGTAAGTAGGACAATTATAGTAAAGTAAGCTGGATAACCACATACTAGCTGTTAAGCGAGGTCAAAGGTTTCTCTGAAGCTATTGATGTACTGTAGGACTGTTGAGTATTGGTTTTGATGTATCTTGTAGAGCTTGGATGTAATAATCTTATGTTTACTGAATTCTTTGTCTAATATAATCTTTCTAATCTTGTTGAATGTCTCGTCAGCATAGTAATTCTTAGTGTTCTTGTCTTGCAATTTTGTAGATATTTCTTGTGAAATTTGGCCAGTCAACCAGGAGGAGATAAAAACACTCTAATCTTTCTATAATTAATAATTGGCACTGGTTGCAGCCGGTTGGGGAATTGTAATATCAATTATTGGTGTATAATAAAGGACTTGAAGCTTGTTATATACTTCAAATTGCCATGCTTCAAAGTCTTTTTTTCTAGTTAGTCAGTCTCTGAGATCTGGTAGAATACTTGGCAGTTTACTATCCAGAGTTCTTCTATTCTGATTCATTTGATCATCAGCCGCTGGTGGTTGTGCTGGGTTTGCTGGGTTTGCCGGTGGCAGTTGTTGTCTTCTAATTAATGCCATTATGGATTTGTCTGTACAATCTGATTGGAGTGATGTTTATTTCGGGTGTAGGATTGTCACGTTGTTGTAATTCATTTTCGGACGCGTCTTGGCACCGGGTAGTTGTCTTAACTAATAGATATCAGTTTAGATACAGTTATTTTTGATGAAAATTGATGAAAATTGATGATTTTTGACGTATCTGGTTGTCTTTCGAGCTTGCCGGGCTCATAACCTGTCGGCTACGGGCAGGATCAGTGGCTCTGAGATACGTGGCCAACAGGAAGAGACGTGTCGCCAGAGGAGAGATGAAGAGGTGGCCTTGGGTCATGTGACCACCATCATTCACAAAACCTTCATGGCAAGTCAAACAGGTGGCAACCACAGGGGTACGCTCATCAACGATGTCACTGCCGGTACCGCGCTCGTCGTCATCATCAACATCGACCTTGAACGCGTAATCGTCCTCATAAAGTGCAGGGCCGTCGCACGGGTCTGCGTAGTAGACCGCCTCGTCATTCGGGGTTGGATAGGCGTCGAAGTGCGCGTTCTGGTCGTGCAAAGATTCAATCGGTCAGTCAACGTAGAACGCGCTCGGATCGCAAGCGGCATCGTACTCGTACTCGTGGGACGCTTGATCCTCAGTTCCGGCGAACGACTGGTTGTACAAGGCAGGCGCTTGTTGATCAGAGTCCTCCTTCGGGAGAGCTTCGCTAGTATTTACTGCAAAGGCTCTAGTACGCTCGTTGTTATTATTATGACGGCCGTAGGTGCCGCGATTCCATGACTGGCGATTGTCCTGGCGATTGTTCCACTGGTTGTTCGAATGATCACGACTTGGACGCCAATTCGAGTTATTATTGTTATAGTTCACGTTGGCATTCAGTTGGTTCGACGGCCAGTGGCGTTGCTGTTGTTGCTGAGGCTGCTGCCAGCGGTTCTGCGGTGTCTGGTTGTTTCGTTGCCACGGGGCTTGCTGACCCTGTTGGTTCTGCCATGGACGGTGATGCCTGTCATTATTATTCCAATTAGTATGACGTTGGAAACCTCCGTGGTCGGTATTAGGAGGGGGCCTTTGCTGGTTGTATCCAGCGCCAGTGTGATTGTTACCGTTGAAGCGGTTACCTGCTCGCTGAGCACGACGAGCAGCGTTCGCGTTTGCTAGGTTTTGCCATAAGTAGGATTTTTGCTCAAGCTGATCAAGGAATGGTCCGAGTCGGTCGTCTTTGGTTGGCTGAGGTATGTGCTGTTGGAGATAAGGATCAAGGTGGTTCCATATCATCATAATCTGGTTGAACGTATTGTCGATGTCTGCGGCACGGGGAAGTCGAACGACTTCCTGGGCGAAGGCCTGGATCGGACGTTGGGCCTGTACGTCAGCGAACGTGTATCTCATAGTATTCAGCTTATTCAAAGCGACGACGGGGTTAGATTTGAATCGTTTAGCCAGTTCAAGGAAGATCCCTTCTTCCAGAGATGCGGAGGCGCGTATCAAACGTCGCTCGCGGTCGGTAAGCTCAAAGCTATACCACGACATGGCAGCACCACGGAAGCATGAAGGTATATTCATCCGTACGATGGGTTCTCCCTTGTAGGCTGCAAGGTCTCGCATACGGTCAAGAAAGGTGTTAGTGTCCTTATAGTAGACCTGGTTGCCAATCTGCTTCATGGCGACGTCGTCTCTCATGTCTGGCCAGAAGTAACCGACTGTATCAGTCTTCCAGTAGCCAGAGGCATCGGCGTTCCTGTTGGCATTATTCGACGCATTGTTATTGTTATCGTTGCTTGGATGAGGATCGGGTGGAGGAACCGGTGGTGGTTGGTCAGTCAAAGACTGCACATTGGTTGTAAGGGTCGCTAGGCGATCTTCAAAGGCACCTAAACGTTGCTGCGTCGTCTGAATAGCAGTTAGGATATCACGCATGCTAGGTTCAGCGGTAGGTCGTGCGTTAGAAGACATGGTGTTCGGTGGTATGGCGGTAGACGGTGAGGCGTCCGACGAAGTGGAAGGTTGAAGCGAGGGGAATAGGGAGGATGTCATAGGATGCTCGGAGGGTCGTTCCGTACGCAGCGCTGGGCGTGACGTAGAGTCGGATGACGACAAAGACGACAAATGATACACCGGTTCAACTGTAGTCTCTGGCTCTATCACAGTGTCGAAGGTTAAACGACGCGGATTAGAGGTCAGAGGTATTCTCCGTGTCCTAGCCGGACGGATATGTCGAACAGTAGGAGGATCAGTGGTCCCTTCCTGTTCTGGCGTAGCTATGTTCGAGGCAGGAGCGCCGTCTTGAGGCGAGCTGTAGGCACCAGGAATGGTCGGATTGGTCGCAGATGAGTCGATATTGCTAGTAACGCTTGAACTTCGTGATCTTGACGATCGACCAAGCGGTCGTTCAGGTTCAGGTAAAGCGTCGGCTGGATGTGTAGCTACCCACTGCTGGTATCTTATCGAGGCAGCGATATCGCTCGACAAGCGTAGAAGGTCTCTGACCGCGCGGTGAACAGTGCTTCGGTCGATATTCCAGTCGGGAGGGTAGGTAAACGCGTTGCTCGAGAGTGACGCTGGTTTCTCGTAGTTGAGCTCGTTTATCAGGTAGTCGACGCGATGCAAGGTGTCTTGGTCGAGTTGGAACGCGTATGGTGAGGTCGAGCCTCGAAAAGACGATATCTGGTGTACTAGCTCCGCTAAACGACGTTCGTTCCTTGATGTCATCAAAAGAGATCAGCGACATGCAAAGGGATAAGGTGGACGCATCAAACGGTAGCGTCAGAGCGAAAAACGAGGCTGAATTGCTCGGAGACCCGAAATCAGCAAGATGAGGCAGAGTAACGAAAACAACGACTTATCGTCGAATCGAATCACATCAAACGCGAAGAAGCAGAAAACGAGGTCCTCGGATACCACAAGGACATGCTACCATAATGTAGCATACTACATGGTCTTGTTGGATGTTATTGTGTTGATTGCCTAGGAAGCGAAGAAGTGCTTCCAGATAACATACACCCATGGTGGTTAAACCATACTAACTAGGAAGGAGCAAGGAGCAAATCATGTGACACAACATAATCCCGCGGGCCTCTCTCCTCGGATGCAATACATTCCACTCTTCAATTCATCATACAGTACTTTGCAAAACTACCATGCCTACCCCTTGACACTCAGTCTCTTTCCCAATCCCTAGCCTTTCTGCGCTAGTCTTTATACGTTTAGTTTGTATGTCAGACTCCTTGGCACTGTTGGTCCCGTTTTGTAAGTATGATAACATTACTTCCTTGATGTTACAGTACGTGTAAATGTATACGGTAACAGAAATCTAGAAGCTTCCATGTCCGGAAAAACGCTCAGGCGGCCACTTTAGTATTGCTTTTCGCTTCTCCAAACCACCTCACAGTTCCTATACCATGGTGCAGAAAATAGTACAGTGATGCCTCCACTTCTATCGCCAGCACAGATTCAGCTTATCTTTGATATGCAGTCAGTCGCGGCATGTCAAGCTCGGAAGCCGGTTGAGCTGCCAAGCGCAGGAAGCAGGTGGTCAAAAAACATCTGCCCCAAACTTCTTGAAGTCTTCAGATCCCTACAGAACCCCAACATAGATTAGGCCAGTCCAAAGAGACAGTTCAAGAAGAGAAAAATTGCGAATGAGTCTAATAAACCCAGGTCTCTTCTACACAGTGATTACGAAAGACGCCGAACTAAAACAGGAATGATTTGATTATATGGTGCTTTGATACATACCCTAACCGTCAATATACCCAGAGCAAGTGTGGATTTCATGACGGCACGGCAAGCAGAAATGAAATACAGTATTAACCCGAAATACTTTTGATAGTTTGCCTTTTATCTTACAATCTGCTGAAGACCAGAAAGCTCTGTCTAAATCCCACTTCGGTTCTCTCAACTTGAGCAATAACAGAATCACTGTCCTATCGTGCTGCTGGTGTCAAATGAGAGGGAAAAGAGGGAAACAGCTAGGTCACAGAAGCTTCCCAGAAGTACTCGCTCTCGAGACGTAGCGTGCTCGCACTCGCCCAACCCCCAGCCTCTCATACTCTTTCCCTTCTGATATTTTTCGCACGGCAAGTATATAATATTCTTTGTTGGGATCATCGTCACCATCATCTGCCCTCACTCCGATGACGACACAGTTCCGAGACTCAACCTCGGCTGCCAACTCCATATCGAAATGTAGGACGCCGACTTTCTCTGTACCCATAAATATCATATACTCTCCATCCCTTCCGCGCGTATAACAACCGTCAAGTTGTCGAACTTCGATATTAATGCCACTGTCGGAGTCGTCAAAGCTTAGGCTTTGGTTCTCTGGGACTTTAAGATCTGATTTTGTCAAAAAGTCGATTTTACCATTATAAAGCATCCAAGACCACGACGGCACACGATTATCGTCGTAAGAAATTCGATCATTCTCTATTCCAGCCCGCTTCCACAAGAGGAGCCGAGGAAGAAAGCAACGGAAGACTCCGTATCTGACTTCAGTAGCTAGAGCTTCCTTAATACGCTCAGCTATGCCTGAAAATGCAACTACCTTATCCTTTTCCGGAAAGGTAAGATCACGACGAGAGTAGTCCGTGATAAGCTCTTGGAGAAATAAGGCTGCCGTTCTATAACCTGCGACTACGAGCCGCTCAGGAAACCGTGGGTCAAGTAGATATGATCTAGTAAGGGGACTAATATAATCAGTAGGTCAACCGATATTCCTCTGACCTATAGGGAAGCGGACTTACCATCTTAATGTGGTAAAATTCTCGCAACGAACTCCCCTTCCACATTCCCAGTATGTTTGTTGTGCAGTGAAATAAATAGTTCGTCGAGAAAGCGCTCTTTCTTGCAACACCCAGGCCCGTTTATGGAGTTGGCCTTCATCAACAAGCTTACAAAAGTCATCAACGATCTTTTGATCGGAATTGACTTCCTCTGGTTGACAGAAATCCTGAGTGCGATTGAGGAAGCCATCATTCCAACCGGATGCTGAACTTGACGCGATCGTGCAGTATGCAGAGGCAAATACTTTGTCCATCCTTGCACCTTCCTCCTCCCAGTCTTTCTGGTCACCTTGAATGATGCAGAGAGCATCAATCCAAAGATACTGCTTGTTCAATTCTCGGGTCACTGTAATAGCGTCCTGGAAAACTTTTGGAAGGCTGTGATAGCTGAACCCCTCTAGTCGTTTCTGGTAGTTCCGAGGTGTGGTACGGAATTTCTCCATCTCCTCATCGGTCGGCTTGCCCCAGCAGTGCGATAGCGTTATATAGTCAAATGGCTGTGTTATGTGTGCGGACTCCTGGAGTTGCAGGTGATCTGAATGATCTGTTCCAACAAAAATAACGCGCTTTGGCACTTTCTGACGACTTCCCTGCATGCATGAATGCTGCTTGTCACACACCCCAAGCCACCGACGAAGCACATCAAAGCGATTGATAATCGGCAAACGATGGGTATATCCTGATTCTTTGTATTCTTTTTGCAGATCTGCTCAAAAATTTGTATTAATAAGAGATGAAAGTACCAAAGAAAAGGGCCTGTTTACCTGAGTAGCTGGAGATATGGAAAGCGGACGACTGGCGTCGGTCTATGCTGATATATGCATCATCTATGGCTCGGCGAACCAAGTAATGGGTAATAAATTCAGAATCATTTTCAGAACGAAAGTATTGCTTGCATAAAGTCAGAATATTCCGGGTTCGAAGTATTGAACATACACTTACTCTGAAAGCGGTTTTTGGATGGCAGAGCAGCGTGCGTCTCCCGAGAACGAATTCATCTTTACAACCAGCAATGAGGTCCGTGACTTCAGTATCAGTTTCGCACGACCATCGATTCTGACATTATAATTAACAACACAGAAAGGGACAGAGGACAGCCATGGCAGTCATGACTTGCTTTAAGACGGGCTGGCTCACTGGCTATACCAATATCATATCCCCGTCAGCCATTACCGCATCCAAGGTACTCTTTCTAGGAACACTGACTTACCCTCTATAATAATATCATATTCCCGTCAGCCATTACCGCGTCCGACATACTCTTTTTTAGAAGACTGACTTACCCTCTATACCAGTATTATATCCCTGTCAGCCATTACCATATCCAAGATACTTTTTCTCAGAACATTGACTTACATTCTATACCAATATCATATCCCTATCAGCCATTACCATGCCTAAGGTACTCTTTCTTGGAACACTGACTTACCCTCTAAATTCATATTATATTCCTGTCAGTTGTTACGGCATCTAATATACTCTTCTTAGGTTTGACTTACCTTCTATACCAATATCATATCCCTGTCAGCTATTCCTGCGTCTAATGCACTCTTTCCCGGAAGACTGACTTGCCATCTATACCAATATCATATCCCTGTCAGCCATTATAATATCTAATATACTTCTCTATGGGTTTGACTTAC